ATATTTGTATTTAGTGTAACAAATCCTAAAGTTTATTAAAGAAATCGTAGCCCATTCAAAATATTCAACAATTTTTGCTATCGACTTGATTGTCTAAGATTGTCTGATATGGCCTAATCCACATCGCCCAAAATTTTAGGAATTGTCTAGTAAAAATTTATATCATAGTGATAACGTAATCCTTCTAAAAGTAATGGATAATGATGGCAAAAAGTGTACTTCGTAAAATAGAATTACCAGTATACAGCATTTTATATAAATTTTATTATTAATATCGGTACACATAACCAAAGAACCAAAGAATTTCATCGTTTCAAATATTGGAATATTTTTAAAATTCATAATATTCATCTATAAACTTCTTTGGTAATTCCATTTTGGCGAAACTGGTTAATGTGAAGGAATATCTAAAAATAAAATTTTGCGGTATAAAATTCTTACCAAAGCAATTCAGAAGTTTGATGATATTTACCAGCAAAAATATTACAATATGACAAAGATAATTGAGTGAAATCCGATTTCAGGAAATAATTTAGTTGGTAGACAAACTTTTTCTGCATGATGATCAAAGATTCAAAAACTCTAAATCTTAATTCAAATTGACGAAGCTATAAGCGAATACTGAGCACAACCTGCCAATTGTTAAAATTTTGGCAAAGGAATGAACAAATCTAAACAAAACAATGCTATTATGCTTTATATATTTAAAAAAAGAAATATTTCAATATTTGAGGTTTTTTTATATAATGCAGATGTTATTGGCTTGACCTGGTCGCCTTGTATATTTAAAAGCATTGTTGTCAATTGGACAACTGATTAACCAACTATTTTAGGCAATTGGACTTAGCAATTTGATTAACCAATGATATTCATTAGTCTAGTCAAATGCTAACACTGTTGCACTGTTTAAAAGTTAATTACAGGAATTATAAATAGCAAATTAGGGATGGCAATGATTTAATGCATGATCTTAAAAAAAAGATTGTTTGGTTTAAAATAGTTTTTAAAACATTGATGTAATCATTGTTATCGTAAAATTATGATGCAATTCAAAATATGATTATAAAATTAATTTATTTAGTGTTAATAAAATGATTAAATTTAATTAGCAGTTTTTATAATTAATGCAGTTGACAAGGAGTAACATAGTGGTGCCACAAAAATTTGTCGGTCCCGTGATATCCGAGCTAATCGGTACTAAAATGTTGATCCGATTAGATCTCATCTTCGAGATGATCTTCTTGTTATCGTTATTGGAACTTATTACAAGGAAAGTTTTTATTTTTTACATCGCTATATATTAAGAAATGTACATATTTAAAAAATTTATAAATAAATGTTTCGAACATCTATTGAAGAGTACAAAAACTATTTATTGTAACCAAAATGCAAGCTTTGAGCCACGAGGAGGCTTCCAAGTTTGTTGTTGACTTCTTGCTCTTAAGGCTTCTTGACAAGCGGTTGTTTCAGTAACTAAGGGTTGTTTAAGTTTTTGGTATGCATTATAAAAGTGATCATTCTCAATATTATCTAAAACAATATCTAATAAAGATTTAAAAATCTTTTTATCTTCTTCTAGCTCAGCTTTTCTAAATTCGATTAACTCATATTGGCTCTGAATAGTTAATTCTATATTAATATCATTTTCGATATTTTTAGGTTGATCTAAAAAACTTTCAGCAATCTCATTGTTCCAGGGATTATTAATTGGGTTAATATTTGGGATCTTTTCTTTGCCATAATAGATAAATGGATAGTCATGTCTTCGTCTTGTAGTTTTGAATTGAGGAAAAGTATTTGGATATACAATAGTATAGTTTTTAACAAGGTGTTTGCATGACATATAATTATTTTCAAGAAATGCAAGACATGAACAAATCCATTTGTTGATATCAGTCAAATATTCATTCTCCATGCAAACTTCCTTCTCCAAAGCAGTTTTCCATTCTTCTCTAAATGCCTTCCACCATAATGGAAATTCATGGTCAATACTAAATCTACTCCATTTATATATTTGATCTGGAACTAGTTCTTGTGTTATAAGCTGTGTTAAGCGATCTAGGTGAGGTCTATTGGAGCTATATTTATAATTACTTTTTAGAGTATGCCAATGTGATTCCACTAGCATGGTAGTTCTAGCTAATGGTAATGCATTAGAGTAAGAAGCCCGGGCAAAAAGGTTTCAATAATTTTTTTTGTACCAGTTAACCCATAAATATCCCCACAAATAAATTAGATTTTTTTTTTTACAGTATTCATATATTTCATGGACACTGTGGTAATAAATTTCATCTGAGGTAAGAAATATTCCATTTTTAATTGGAATAAGTGGATGCAATAGTGTATGCTTTTTAATCATCTTTAAAATTTCAACTTTGTTTTCTTCAGAATATATAGCACTCTCCTGTTCATTAGGTATCCAAAGTTCATCAATAAAATCAAATTGTTGTTTAGCATTATTTGCCACTTGCAATGTGTATTGGCTAGTTTTAACTTTTTTTTTCTTAAATTTTCTTTCAACAGCATGTTCCATATGCTATAAGCAAATCTGAATTTTACTATTTGGGACCAAGCCATTTCCACAGCTGCTATTTCACCGGCATTCTTATCTGTAAGAACAAATATAGGTTGAATTCCTTTTGCTTTTAGCAAAGAAAAAAATTCTTTTAAAACTAATACTCGTGAGTAAATATTATTTTTTGAATTCTGTAGACATTCTGCTGGTGCTGAAAAAGTATGAACATATAGATAGGCAAGTGGAATGCCAAATCTATCATAATTGTTCAAAATAGAAAAAAGTTCAAATTTTTCTTTATTAGTTTTGAATGTTGAGTCTAAAATAATTTCACTAATATCATTATTTGATATATAATGAAGAAAAGGTGTAGTAAATCCGAGAGCTTTGACAAAGTCATTGTCAATATATAATAAAACTTTGTATTCTTGATCAACAATATTATTTTGTTCTAAGAAATTGCGGGCTGAAAGGAGTTGATTATCAAAGTTTGTAATGTATTGCTGGGCGGAAAATTTTGAGACTCAATAGTATATTTGCTGATAAGTATGTATATTCAGATTAATGAGTTTTTCTTCACATAATCTCTTATAAAATTCTATTTTTTGAAGATCTTTATTTATATTTCATGATATCCAGGATATAGCATTCGGTGATAAGTTATTTTCACGATAATTAGGATATGCATGAGCAATTAAATGTTCAATTTTTATAGTTGCTTGATTTTTATTAATATTAATATTAATTTTACTATTTCCACCACATAGATACTGATCAATTGGAGGTCTTGCTTCACTTATTCTTTTTGCTAGTTGATTTTCAGGATGTTGATGTTTTCTTTCTTCTCTTTGTGTACAATAAATATACACTACTGCTTCTCCAGTTAACTGATCTTTTTTTTTATAAAAATATATTTTCTTTATTTCCCAGTAATAGTGAGACCCGGCTTCAATAATTAATGGATTGGATTTACCCGTACTAGATTTAGTACATTGTACTAGATTTAGTATATTGAATAGTCTAGTTATC